AGTAAGATATTTAATTTTTGTTTAACATGATAGTCTAACTGGCATTTGGTAAATTTTTTAATGGATGTTAACATATTTGGAGGTAACTTTGTAATTACAGGGGGTATCTTTCTGAATTAATTTTTGTAGAAATTAAAATTAAATTTCTGGACTGATACGATTTTTCAGCAGGTGGAAGCACTTTCAGGCAAGCTAGATGACCTGAATTTCATGAATAGAATACACATAGTGGAAGGAAAGGACCACCAATTGTCTTCTGACCTCCACATATGCACCATGGCACATGTATTTCTTCCATCTATCACAAACACAGAAAATGATAAAAAATGTACTGAAACTTTATGAATACATTGCTTACTGTCACGTCATATCCTGCTGTAGTATATAATGATATATTAGGTCAATTAAATTATCATTGTTCAGCACACACAAGCACTGATATACACTCACACACACCAATAGGAATGAGTCGAATCTTCAAAGGTAGTAATGAAATTAGATCATCATTAATCAACTGTTAGACTCGTTTCCAAAGACATAATGAATGAAATGTGAATGGACAGAAAGTGTCAACTGTTATGGAGAAAACACATTAGGAAACATGGATGGTCTTATATTTTCAAAGAAATGGAAAGAGTGAGCCTCTGAAAACAAAAGGAGAATTCAAATAAATTTTTGAAGAAAATGAGTGTTTGAGACAAGTCCTTACTGAGAAACAGTAAATTCCTGGTTATAAAAACAGTTACAAAGGGAAAACATGTGTACAAAGAACCTTAGATTCAAGTGTATCTGATCTATTTTAGGCATAGCTAGTAGATTCTGTGACTGAAACAGGATAAATGAGAGAGACGCTATTAGGTAAAGAATTTAGGTTGGTTAAGGGCAAAAAGAAAGATTAGGCTATAAAGTCAATAATTAGAACTATGGTTTTTATTATAAGTGATGTCTAAAAACATTAATTTTGTCTATGAAGTAGTGTTTCACATTCAGAAGACAAAAGAGGCAAATTGAAAGTGTATGTGGCTTGGCTTCTTAAAGTCTTGATAAGAATTTTGTAAGAACTTATACCAAATTCTTGATGAAATTTTGAATTTGGAATGTTTTTGACCTCTACTTCAGCAGTAATATTCTCTTTTGGCTGTGACAGTATGATGGTTAATTTAAAAAATAAGAGGAAAATCTACTACAACATGCTAGTTGTTTACATAATTTCTTTATTCGCAGGAAAACAGCAAGGACCATACCAGTGACATAATAGCCTTGGGTATGTATAATTAATAAAGCAAAGTGGAATATTATTTTCTCAAGAAAGAAACTAAAGGAAACTGTTGCAACAATAGCAATAACAATGTGCTTAAATGCTCTTTTAAATTGTAAAGAAACTCATTTGTTAATCTTATTAAAATAAAGGGAATAAAAGAAATTCCAAGAGGTAAAACTGTGAGAATACCTGCATTTGTGCTGGATGCTTTTCATAATATGATGCCTGAGGGCATGTTCAGAGAAGTGGTGGTATTATAATTATTATGATGCAGATTTAGTATAAAAAAAGCAGAGATAAAAATTTGGTGACTAAAATAAATGTTGTTTTTGTATTTCTAATTGTTTCTTATTAAAATGAAGTATTTTACCTATACATGTTCTTTACCTACATACATACATGTTCTTTACCTATACATGTTCTTTACCTATACATGTTCTTTACCTATACATGTTCTTATGATAGATATTTCTTGTTATATTTACACAGTTCATAATTATTTTTTCTAAACTTATGGTATTCTACAACCAATTGGATTTTTTCTTAAATGATTATCATTTACATACAGCATCTGTAGTGCCCAAGCTGTCCTTTCCTGATGAGTAATCAAGAGTATAGTCTGTTGAATGTCACGTTTCAAGAGAAGCATATCGAAATCTTTCTGTGCCCTACATAACTGTCACACATTGCCAGTGCCATGGAAAATGATGTGATTACTACAAATAAGAGTTTTCAAGTTTAAATAGGCTTAATATATTCAATTGTCACTTTTTATCTTGAAATAACATGATTACTATTTGGGAGAAATATTTCTTGAAAAAGAAATCTTAAGTTTGCTGTCACGTCAAAAATCAACTTAGACACTATCAAAATTATATTTAACAGAGTTTCCATATCCAACCTTTATTTTTCTGTGGTCTATATAGACATGTGGATATAAAGGAGGAAATGTGTGATTTTCAACTTGTCTTGACTATTTTGATTACAAATTATATAGATGGGGGGAATGTGAAACAGAGTGTAATGAAATCCAAGAAAAGAAGGCAATAGCAGTTCAATTCTACAGTTAACCAATTTTGGAATTAGAACGACATGTACAAATTAGAACTCCACAATTTATTAAATATGTGAACTCTGACAATTTATTTGATGTTTTTGTCTGTTTCCTGACCCCAAAGGTATTCTTATATTAATACACCTGTATTGCTAGATTATTATGAGAATTAGGCAAAAATGTAAGCCCTTGTCATACGTTTTTAAATGTAGTAAATATTGAAGTATGATATTTGAACGATTATATTAACACCTTTCTATTTAACAAGTACTCACTGAAATTTTAGCAGCTGTGAGGCTATTCTTATTATCTTCATCATCATGACTAGATACAGGCTAGAAATATAGGTTAGTTTTAGAGTCATTCCATAGCAAGTCCAAGACACTCAGAAATGGCCATACCATGTTCAAGGCCCAATAGATTCACAAAATTGAAAAAAAAAGAATGCAATAATTTAGAGTGTCAATTCCCAATAATGACAAATTTTCACTCACTTGCCTTTTGGCCCACTTCTTCTCAGTAACAGTGTGCATGCTTACCCAAAGGAAACATTTGAAGAAATGTTTCATCCACTGTATTGAAAGGTGAAACTTCAGTCTGAACTAAATGGAGCTACCAGCCAACAAATTTCTTTTCAGAACAAGATCTTGCCTTAATAGGTAGAAATGCGATAGATCACATCTTGTGGAGAAACAAAATCATAGTTTTGTGATTCTGGGGAAGGCAATTTGTCTGTAGATGGTGTATTCTTTCTTCTTTGTAGTTCCAGGCTTTCATTAACATATAGTGTGAAGTGTAGATTCGGCCAAAACATTGGTAATTAAATTTTCTTTTGCTTAAGTGCCTAAGCCACACACTTCTGATGAGTGAAAATACTTCTGAGAAACAAATGGCCAAAACATTGGTAATTTTTGTGCCTAAGCCACACACTTCTGATGAGTGAAAATACTTCTGAGAAACAAATCCCTTTGCAGTTTTTTGTGAATTTTTTTTTTTTTTTGAGACGGGGTTTCTCTGCATTGCTTTGGAGCTTTTTCTGGAAATCCCTCTGTAGACCAGGCTGGCCTCAAACTCACAGAGATCCACCTGCCTCTGCCTCCCGAGTGCTGGGATTAAAGGTGTGTGCCACCATCGCCCTTCGGACTTCCATTTTTAAGGTTGGGGAAGCAGGTCCCTTTAACAGTATCTGTTACGTAAGCACATTCTTTTTAGGAAGACTTTTGGGTAAATCAAAAGATTCTTACCAAAACAAAAGCAGTCTCCGAGAGTGAAGTACAAAGGAGCGAGGTTAGTTGGGGATTGTTCAGTAATGCAGCATTTAGAAGTATCAGGGCCTTCCTCCCCAATTATTCTAATGACCTTGGGTCCTCTCTTAACCTCTGCCAATCTGTTAACGCCCACTAATCTCTCATGATTTTTCAGAATTGCGACCTCAGCGATGGTCCTGGCCAGAGTACACTAAGCTGAGGTCCGCTCAACGATGTGGCCTAGAAAGTCAAGGTCACAAACCCGCCCACGTGATAGATTTCACAGGGTGAAAGTCTATATCCTGAAGGATGATGAAAAATGGGAACATCTAGGCTCAGGACGAATTTCAACTAAATACATTGGACGCCTGCAGGGCGTTTGCCTGATTGTTCACTCAAAATCAAACGACTCACTGATAATGGAGAGCATAATATATCCTGATGTGTCATATAGAAAAGTAAAAAGGAATTTAATTATTTGGACTGAACCTAATAACCGTACCATGGCAATTCGCTTCCGAAACCCAGAGGGTTGTCAAGATACCTGGGGAGATATCTGCCAAGTTCAAGGTAAAGATCCAAGTGTACGAATCACACAAGAACTTACAGATTTAGACGTTTTTCAACTGCCCGAGATCCAGAATCTGTGTGAGATGCGAACCTGTGAAAACAGCACTCTTGAAAACATTGCACATTTATTTAATTTTGTTCAGGATTCGCCAAGCTACAAGGAAAGGCTGGCTTTTCTTTTGGAAAAGGAAGATTACATTAAAAACTTGCTGCAGATCTTCCACATTTGTGAAGACCAGCAGAACATTGAAGGCTTATATTTTTTATATTTCATTATTAAAGGAATCTTATTTCTCAACAACATGCGTTTGTATGAGATCATGTTTTCTGACGAATGCATCATGGATGTCTTGGGCTGCCTTGAGTATGACCCTGTTTTGGCTCAGCCATATCGGTACAGGGAATTCTTGACTGAAAATGCAAAATTCAAGGAAGTTATGCCAATAACATGCTCTGAACTCAGGCAAAAAATAGACCAGACATACAGAATGCAATATATTCATGGCATTCTATTTCCTACACAGTCCAAATTGCAACAGCACCACCTTTCTGATCTTAAAGATTTTATTTTTTACAATAAAATTGAAATAGTTACCATGCTGCAGAAAGATGACAAGTTTTTGTTTGATGTATTTGCTCAGTTAAAAGATAATACTCTAGGTCATGAAAGACGGCTTGAGTTGTTATTGTTTTTCAAGGAATTCTGTGCATTTGCTAAGATATTAAATTCCCAAAAGAAAGAAAAATTACTGAAAACATTGATAAAGCTTGGACTCATGAGCGTGCTGAAATTTTCAGTACATATGCAAGACTACCAAACAAAAGAAGCTGCTATAGATATATTTACTTATCTAGTAGAATATAACCCACAAATCATTAGAGTGTATGTAATGGAAGAAGAGCAGATCAGTGAAAATGATGATGATCTTCTCATCAATATAATGATCAAACAAATAATCTGTGATCCAGATCCTGAATCTTCATATGTTTTAAGTTTGACCGCAGTTCTACGTGCTCTTCTTGATCCAGAACGGATGCGCATAACAGCGAATGGATCTGAAAAAAGCAAATTTATGAATTTCTTCTCTACTCATTGTATGAATATCTTGGCAGCACCAATTTTATCTATCATCGGACAAAGTGATAGTGATGATAATAGGGCCAACATCTGTCTTGATAATTACCAAAATGCACAATTGCTTGGAGTAGTTTTAGATTTACTCAGCTTTTGTGTAAAACACCACACAACTTACATTGGAAATTTTGTTTTGGACAACAACTTGCTCAGCAGAGTCCTGGTGCTGCTGAGTTCAAAGCACAAGTTTCTGGTTTTGTGTGCTATCAGGTTTATGAGACAGATGATTGGACTTAACGATGAAATATATAATTTTTACATAATAAGAAAAAATCTTTTTGAACCTGTTGTAAATGCTTTTTTACATAATGGGACACAAAATAATATGCTAAACTCAGCTATTATGGAGCTATTTGAATTTATAAGAGAGGAAAACATCAAGTCTCTTATTGTAAATATTGCAGAAAATTTTTTTATGGCTTTTGAATCAGTTGTGTGTGTCCAGACATTTAAAGGTTTGAAAGTTAATTTTGAAGAAGAGAAGGAAAGAGAAAGTGAAGTGAGAAGGAATTTACGTAATATAATAAACCAGACAATATACTGCAGACATATGAAAGCAATGGAGGTAAAAGTCAAGAAAGAAATATGTTCTGAAGAAAGTACTGCAGTTATTATACCAATGGGAAGTGATTTTCCAAATCGTTATGACGTGTTTATAAGAATTAAAGATGCAAGTGAAAATGAAGTAGAACTGCCAGAAAGAAAAGCATCTGAAGCATTTGAATGTTCTTCATCCAATTCTGATGCTTCTGCTAATAGGAAGAGTGAGCCACACTATAGCAACAAGTTTCCTTTAGTGGACTACTCAGATGATGACGATGAGAACAAGAAGAAGAATGAAGACTATCATGACATTGTTGAAGAGGAAGAACCTCCTCCCAAAAGACATAAACTTGGTTCATAAAATCAGACAAGGCCCTCAACTTTTGATTAAAATAAAATTCTATAAATATCATAAACTGAAAAATCTAATTAAAAAATCTTTCTCTTATGGACTTTTAGATATGGTATTATAAGTAGCAAAATGATGAATAAAAAGCAATTTTTATGAGGAATATCTACCATAACATAGATTCATAGCATAAAATAACTACCCCCGAGTGATAAATTCTTATCAGGAATATCCTATTTTGGCAGCAAGGTTTGGGAGGAGGAAACAGTCTGATAAAGTAATACAATTTTTCATTCTTGTCTTTATATTACAAACAACACAAAAGTTTTATTGCAAAGCCTATTTCAAACAAGGTTCTAGCAATAGCATTCTTTTCATAAATTGAAGTTTTCGAAAGAACCTTTTGTATGTGTAGAAGAAAAAGTCAATATTACAGTAAAAATAAAGTGAAACTTCCAACTTTTTGTGAAGATTTAGCAAAGTCTTAGCATTTTGAATAACAGGAGGGAAGCGAATTTCACTAAAATTAAGTGCATACATTCATGAATGAAATAAACTGGATCCTAAATGAGCTGCTGTTAATGTACTTCTTTATAGATGAGAAATATCAAGTATCACTATCAGTACAGTACTTTTTCTAATAAGCATTCTCTAGTTCTTCTGGGAATGAAACAGGATGCACCAAATATTCGGATTATTAAAGATATTTCTTCATTCATTAATGAAGATTCGTTGTTTTCTTCAGAGTCATAGACACACAATAGGATATACATATTTTTTTCTGGTGAGGGAATACATTCATCCCAGTGGGGGATGATAGAAGAGTAGACTAGTCAATGGTGGGAGGAATCTAAAGCAGCATGTCACATTGCACCCACTATCAATAAGCAACTAAACAAATCCTGATGCTTACCTCAGTTTCTCTTTAGTCCAGGACATCAGTCCATCACACAGTGTCACACACATTCAAGCTATGTCTTTCATATTCACTAATTCCAATCTTTAAAAACTACTTCATAAATATGCCAAGAAATTTGTCTCCTAAGTATACATTCTATTAATTCTCACTAATTGACCCCTTGCTTATTTAACATATAACTTTTAAATCATAACTTTCGACATCTTGCCCCAAAAGGCTCATGCCATTTCATATGGCAAAATGTATTCAGTCTAACCCACAAACATGCCTGGGGCACCCTGCCCCTGGCACTGAGGAGATAATACAAACCTGCCCAGGCCCATTAAGACTGAGCAGGTGAAGGAGACACAGGAAGGCCTGCTCTGGGCACCAAGGAGAAAACATGGACTGGGCAGTTGGACGGTATTATGGTGAGCAAAAATATGGTGTGGTAGGGGGGAGAGAGAGACAGGCTGGTGAATGTCCTGTGCAGAGGCTGATCTTAAGGGGTAAAGACTGTGAGGCATGTGCTGAGGTGGGTGGCTTGCTTTCCACCCAGGGCCAAGGTGATTTTTGGGCCTGGGCTGTTGCCAAGGCCCATGCTTGTGTCCATAGCCATCCTACATCTGTGGTCTGTGTTGATGTCCATGGCTCCTGATAACACTGAAGGTCGAGAGGATAGGGCTGCATAGAATTGTCTGTGTGACTCACCAGCTGCAACAACAGGGAGAACTGGCCCTACCCCTTATTGGCTATAGAAATAAGGAGTGCAAGCCTTACACCTCACCTGGGGAGCACAGTAGAACTGACCCAGCTGGTGGGCATGAGTGTGGGAGAGATGGACTCAATACTTATCTGTCTGTGATGCAGAGCAGCATGGGTAAGGGAAAGATGCCCCCACCTTGCTTCTTGTTCTTCGTCTCCTGCTGCAGGCAAGGGAACTGACCCCTCTCCCTTATCATCTGCAGCACTGGAGAAAGCAGTCCCTGGCTGGACCTTGCCTTGGAAGCACAGTAGAGCTAACCCTATTGATTGGAGGGGCACATGTGAGGCAGCTCCCTGAAGAACATGAACAAGGGAGAACCGGCTCTACTCCTCATCTACCATACTGTGGACTGGGAAAAAGAGAGATGCCCACCACCTCTCTCAGCCTGTGACAGTGTGAAAGCTGGCCCTGAGGTCGTGAGATCATGAGAGCTGGACCTCATCCTCTCTAGCTGTAGCACTTCAGAAAGTGACTCCTGTACTTCACCTGGGCAACAAAGCAGAACTGGCCCTGGTGGTGTAAGTGTGGATGAGCCAGGCATAAGGGCATGAGAGCAAGAGAACAGGCCCCAGTCCCTTGATCCTTGCTGCAAGGGATGAACTAACCAGGGCAACATGGCAGACTGACCAATGCTACAAGTTCTCAGGTCCAGAACCAGTGCTATGGGGTGGCTCACCCCAATATCTAGGGGTTGGCTCACCCCAATATCTATCCCATCTGTGATCTGCTGTAGCACATGAAGGTCTGGTCCTGCAGATCCAAAGCTGGAGGATCTCCATGACACAAGGCAAGAACAGGATATCTAAGAGAAGTGCCAGTATGGGCCTGATATCAATAGTGTAGCAGAAACCAGAAGCCTGGAACAAGACCAATGACTTTTGGCAATGAACACTTACAGGTAAAGCTATATGGACTAAGGAATATACTGTGTGGATTGCTTTGTCACACTAAAGCTTCCATGATGAGATTCTCTCTCTCTCTCTCTCTCTCTCTCTCTCTCTCTTGTTTTATTTTATTTTGTTAGAGAAGAGAAGTTGCAAGGGCAGGGAGTGGATATAAAAGGATGGGGAGATGAGTGGGATCAAGACACATGATATGAAAGCCACAAAGAATAAATAAAAAGTTAAAAAATATACATTTAGTCTAACTGCAAAACATTCCATAGTCTTTAATGGTTTCACCTTTGCTCAAAAGTATAAGGACAGAGTCTCTTCAGAGACTCAGATTCTCTTTAGCTGTGAGCTCTCATATCATAAAATTAAAAAATATACTGGTAACTTTTTGTGGTGGTCAAACACATGACTAAAATCATTTTATTGAAGTTAAAGAGATTGGTAAATATCTGAAGCACTGGTTGCTCTTCCAGAAGACTGGATTTGATTTCTGGCACCCACATGAGAGCTAAGAAACATGTATAAATCTAGTTCCATGAGACATGTTGTCCTCTTCTGGCCTCCATTTGCACTTATGAATGTGCTATACAGACATACTTACAGGCAAAACATCCATACATGTAAAAAGAAAATAAATACACTTTTAAAAATTGACTCTTGGGAAAAATAGTTCCTTTTGGCTTAAGGTTGCAGAAGGAAGAACCCATAAGTGGTGGGGGAAGCATGGCAGCAGATGTACAGAGAAGAAGGCGATGATTACATCTTTATCTGAACTCAAGAAGGGTAGAGAGAGTGAGAGAGAGAGAGAGAGCGAGACAGAGACAGAGACACAGAGAGACAGAAACAGAAACAGAGAGAGACAGAGACAGAAAGAGACAGAGAGAGAGAGAGAGAGAGAGAGAGAACACATTGAAAGTAAGGAGAATCTATAAACTTTCCAAGCCAACCCTCAGTTACCATCTAAAGATTCCATAACCTTCCCAAACAGTGCCACAAACCTTGGGTCAAGTGTTCAAATACTTAGGCCAATGGCAGGATATTTTAATTTAAACTATCATATACTGCCCCTTGCCAAATGCAGGCCTATAGCTATATCAAGATGCTGTTGTATCACAAATGTTTTCCTGAGGAAATGCAATATACATGTCTAGTCACTTCAGACAGAGAACCCACGGCAGACCAAATTCCAGATACCACCAAATTCCAGCTTGGTGAGCCAATGAGTTTTATTGGGGTTACGTGCAGGAATAAGGATTAGGTCTTAATATAAGAGTAGAAATGATTCAAAGACAGTTGCATCACCAAAGTCCAGCTCAGCAGGGGTGGCAGCTCACAATATACAGAAGCCTGGAGCACCCTACACAGCCTGCCTGAAACACAACTGGTTGGAGAGTGTCCTTTCCATGTGACTTGGTTGATCCAAACCACTTCCAGGCAACTCGGATGGTTTTTGCTTCTTCCAGGCTACAGACCTGGTTTCAGAGTCTTCTTTGCTGTTTGTCCTGTCTGAGAGTGACCCTTAGCAGCCTTCTATTGTTTAATCTTGGGAAGGAGAGGCTTAGTGAATCTCATCAGTTTCAAGGAACTTCTGAAGCTGTTTAGAGTTGTTTACCTCTTTCCTTAAAGCCCTATCATGCTGGAGGGAATATTTCAATCTCACAGGAAACTGCTACACAAAACTCTACCCCTTCCTCTGGCTGTAACATTTTTCTTCTCCCCCTTCTACAATGATCTCTGAGCCTTGGAAGGGGGTGGCTGTAGATGTTCACCTGTGGCTAAGGGTTAGCCCCCCATGACACAGCAACAGTAACTTGATATCTTAGGGTTATATTGCTATAATGAAATATCAAGGCCAAAAGCAAGGTGGTGAGGAAAGTGTTTATTTAGTGCATTCTTACACATCATAGCACAACCTTAAAGGAAGTCAGGGCAGAAACTCAAACAGGGTAGGAACCTGGAGGCAGGAACCAATGCAGAGGTGATAAAGTGGTGTAGCTTATTGGCTTTCTATCTATGTCTTGCTCAGTTGGAGTTCTAATACAACCCAGGACCACCAGCCCAGAGATTGTCCCACCCACAAGGGTCTGTGCCTTTCCACACCAATCTGAACTCCATCTTGTGGATCAAAAGTTAAATCCAATCAGAAGGCTTTTGGTCTTACCCACGATAGCTCAGACACCAATGCCCAAGCAGACACATCATGCCTGGTATGTCAGTATTTTAGCATGCAGTGTCCATGGATGAGCAAGAATGTTGGTGACAGTTCTGCACCAGAAGAAACCTGCATTGCATTATGGTACTATGGAAGCCTGACAGCAGAGTGGAGCTTTCAAGTTCAGTCTCAGCTTAATTTCTCCATGTCCTACAGCTAAAGCATGGCCTTCAGCAATAAAGTCTTATACTCTAGTTAGGATATGCAAGCAACAGCAGTAGCAATACTCTTTATGGTTTCTGAGGTCTCGAGGGCTTTCCTGGTCAACAACTCATTGGGAAGTAGCCTACCCTTGGCACTGGTGTTTTCTTTCAATAACCTTATGGCCTGTGAGGTATTCTTTTCAACCTATATAGGGTACATTTTGATTTGAACTCCTTAGCAATTGTTTCAACAACCCATTTTTCCTTTGAATTCACTTAGTTCTAGTAGGATTTTAAGGTAGATGGAAGTACCATTGTACCTGTTTTTCTCTCCAATGGCTGTTTTCCAAACGTGCAAAACACTCAGAGTTTAGCATTATATTATCTATATAACAAAGCCTTTTCCAGAGGATGGGCAGGACAAGACAACAACCTGAGACACCAGCCCATAGCAAATAGTGTGATTACAAAGATAACATTGGTGATGCATTCTGAAAGTCTATTGTCATCTGTTCTACCCAAATGTTAGGTGATCCCAGAAGTTTACAACTAAGACAAAACTAAAGTCTAACATAAGCAGGTCTAATACATCATAGAAATGTTCATCTATTTGTATCAATTGATTCCTGCATAGATCAAGGTTAGGTTCGAAGCATGATGGGAGGCACTAATATAATTATCTCCCTATATATCAGTCATTCTATTTGAGCCATTACATTTCCATATTCTGGAGGTCTTCCCTGGAGCCTTGCTACATTTCTTCATCCCCGATGAATTCAGTGGGCCTGACTTAATTTGTTCAGGCCTACTCATGACCAGAAGCAATGTAATCCTGCTCATCTCTGCTTCACCCTCTAGCTCCCTGGGTCAGAGAAGCCTTGGGTTGGCACAGCTCTCGTCTCCCCATTTACCATACCTGGCTTGTTGGAGGGATTTTTTCTGGGCAAAGCATCTCCAGATATAACATAACCTTTTGTTATAGGGAATACACCCTCTGTCTTAGTTAGGATTTCTACTTCTGTGAAGAGACACCATGACCACTGCAATTCTTAAAAAGAAAGCTTTAAAATGTGGTGGCTCACTTACAGTTTCAGAGATTCAGTCCATTACCATCATGACAAGTTGCATGGCAGCCTGCAGGCAATTCTTGTGCTGGAGTAGTAGCTGAGAATCCCCTATTTGCAGACAACAGGAAGTTTACTACCATACTGCTTGAAGCTGGAGCAAAAGAGACCTCAAAGTCTGCTCTCACAGGAACATACTTCCTCCAAGACTGCACCCACTCAAGAAGGCCACACCTCCTGACAGTGCCACTCCCTTCGGGGCCATTGTCTTTCAAACCACCACACCTTCCTTATCCTGGGGAGATAACTACCCATCTCTGGAACAGACTTTATCATCTTCATCTGTATTTTCTATAATGGATACTTACTACGTACTGTTCCTCAGGCTTGGAAGCCTTCCAGAAGGCCCTGAGCATACAGTTTGGCTATTAATTATTTCCTTAATTATTGCCACATATTTTGATTAACCCAGACAGAATCTGCTTTGGCTTCTTTGTATCTCCTCTAGGTTGCTTTTTATCTGATGGGCAATGTCACTGAGATCTGCCAGTGCTTTCTTCACAAAAGATCTCAGCAAAGTTGTTAGAGCTCCATTCCAGCCTTGAGGATATTACTGCACCAACCTATTATTTAATATTTCTGTTAACATAGATTATTCTGTCCCAGTGAACTGGAATTCAAATGTAACTTATTTTATTCCTAGTGACCGTAGTAACACCTGTCCCTCCTCTGTGATCCTCCAGACCCTGATATTTGTGGGGCTCACAGATGGAGATTGTATGGTAAAAGTTCTAAACCCACTTAACCAAAACCCATCAATCCCTGAACTCAAAAATCCAACAATCTGTGAGTCCCCAAACCAATCATTCCTTGAGCTAAAAAATCCCACCAATCCCTGGGTTTGCCTTGAAATCCCACCAATCCCAACCCTAGAAATCTACACTGTGAGAAACTACTGCCCCCTGCTCTTTTGTGAAGTTTGTTGTACAGTGTGACTTTGTGGTACTTCTAGGATTCCAAATGTCAGGATACTTTTCCCTTCAGATCTGTACCACTTCTCCTATAGAACTGTAACACATACATTGGTGAAGCATTTCCCCCTAGAGCTATAACACAAAGATAAACAAGTGTCCCCATGACTTTGATCCGCCTGTCCATCAGGAAATTGTTTCCCTCATAATGCCTCAGTTTATACAGCCATTGCCTTAAGGAAGGGTGGAAAATCACATTACTCATTTTTTTTCTGCCTCCACCTAAATCAGACTGTTCCCACCAGTTGCTATGTCCAACAGTCTCACAGGTCTTGTTGTGACTGGCTCTTCTATTGCTTTTAAAAGTCTTCCACAGTTCCATCAGTTCAAATGTTGAATATGTCCTGATTCCCCCAGGTTCTTGTATGGACCATGTTTAATGCCCCTTCTGTATGTTGGAATACAGATTTTCTCTCTTCTATTACACATTGGACCTGAAGGAGTATCTTCTATTGGTTTTACTACCTCTCTAATCATCTTGTTAATCTTATTTACTTGCAAAATAGGAGCCCCATTTCCCTTTTTTGTTGCAATTGCTCCTTTATACAAAGAAGCTCCAGCTTGGTCACTATTACAGCCTCAGATGCATTTATACCTACACACAAAAGACCAGTAGGCAACTTGTCTCACTATGGGCAATCTTAACTTCTGTGTTCTAATCCTAAAGACTGACCATGCATGAAAAGAGTCCATTAATTTGAAAGAGCAAGACAAAGCATATGGGAGACTGAGGTGAGGAAAGGGAAATGGTTGATATGAGGTAATTACATTTGTGTTCATCAATTTGAACACTTGGTCCCCAGTTGGTGGTGATGTTTGGGGGAGGTTACAGGGAGAATCATCTTTGCTGGTAGAAATAAGTCATTATGGGTGGGATTAGAAATTTTATAGACATTCCCTACTTCTAGTTCTCTTTTTTGCTCTATATCTTTTTCTGTC